TCTTCCAAATACTTTTTCTTTTGCACTAACAAAACTAAAACATTTTCCCCCATTAAATTGTCACTCAATGCATTTGGAACAAATTCTTTCCACTGCATCAGTGAAATGCTGCATTTTTTCTCTTCCTGAAAATATTAACTTATTCATCTGGAAAACCCATCTGACGAATGCAATAACAGAAGTAAATGGTCTAAATAGGAATAAATATCCTGCTTCCAGAACCCATCTGCTGTAAACTCCTGTAGGAAATCTTTTCAAAAGCTTAAAATAAAAAGAACAGCCATTTCAGAGATGAGCAATACAGTTATTACACATAATGTTTTGATTTGCTAATGGGAATCTGGTACAGAGCTGTTATATTCACCAGCTGCCATCTACCTCAGGCAGAACCATGCTTGACTTTGCATATGTACACTTAGTACCATATGCTGGGAATGGCTTGCTTTGACCAGACAGACAGAAATGATTCAAGCTTATAGATAGTTTCATGCCTGTTTAAAACAAAAACAAATGAAAAGGACATGACAAATACAGATAAAGAATATCGGAAACTATTGACAGTACTGCAATCCAGTGTGATGCATACCCAAAGGATTTGTACAGAGGGAAAAATCATATTCAAATATTAGTTCAAGATTTATTTTATTTCACTTAAATACTGTAAAATAAAGTTGTGTTTTCAAAATCTTTATAATATTTCAGTTTTAATACTTCTGCTAATCAGTGTAATTAAGTTTTACCAAAAAGAGCTGAACATTCTATATACTTACTAAGAGTTAGCACAACATAGATGCTATACTGACTCAACCCAGACACTTCAAATGCAAATTTAGTACACTATCAGTAAATAAAAGTAGCATTGACAGCTTCTTTAATATTAATGGCTCTAAATCCAATCTTGTATGAATATAGTTTTCAATAACTATAACAAATTCTCTTATTTTTATGCTAAAAAGGCAGATGCAAAAGTTTCAGGGTTTTTAATATAAACAAAACCACATAAACACCCATGAAACCCGTGGTGTTTATGTAAAGCCAACAAAATGGAATCCCTGAAAATAGGCCACTGAGAGAAAAGAATGGAGTAAAAAAAAGTTATTTATTGATCCAATGTATCTTAGATCATTTGCATGTTCTTTCATCAAGGAAATTTTAGCAATTTAATAAAAATATAAAACAGCTAATGAGTCTGAAATATATTGCATAAATACAAAATACTGTTTTTCTTTTGCTTTACCTTTTTTTTTTTTTTTTTTTTTGCTCTTGGTGGCTTTTCTCAATTTTGACCAGTAGTCAAAGATACTTCACTACTGACATCATTCCAGATTCTAGCCTCTTTTAGCCAAATAATAACCAAAATATTTGGATAGTCAGTGATTCATACAAGACTTATATCAAGGAACACGAAATTATTTGGATAAACATAAGTACTACAGAATCATAGTTCATTATTAATCAAAGATAATCAAGTTATTGTTTGGATAAGCAAATTCTAGAATAGATACAAATAATATTTTGCAGCTTATTGCTTGCCTATTGTGGATGTAATAGTTAATAACTATTACAAGCAGTCCTACATGGTAACTGAATGAAATATGAAGAACTGTATGAAGTCATGCTTAAATGGATAGAAGGATGGTTACTTACCAACAGGGCGGGCTGGAGACATTATAATGGTGTGGTGAGAACATAATAAAATTAAAGGAAAAAAAAAGAAATTTTGTCAGAATGCATGATGTGTAATGTTATGCTTTACTCTGGATACTCAGTTGAACAGTAAATTCAAATATGTAAGCCTTCAAATATGTAAGTTAAATGGCCCCTTCTGTTCTTCAGTTTAGACTGATTAAAACTTCATTTGCTGAATACAAGGACTTGTATTGCATTTGAAAAACCTGTCTGGAACCAATCATCTGATTAACACCTTTGATAGATTCATGTGCCATCGTCAAATGTCATTGCTAATGCTTGACTGAAGTGAAGTAGCTTTGCATTAGGCCCAACTTCTAGACCTCATCCAAACTCAGAGACTGGCAAATGTCAGTCCAATAAAAGGGAAGCATAACTGTCTGATTTAAATACCAATTGCATTTTAAGCATGGCTGGTCAGAATTGCAGTGCAGTTTTCAGAAAAGCCCAAAGCACCTTTTTTTCTTCATTCAGTAATAGACACAAAAGCTCAAATTACATCTCCTTCCAAACACTGACAGAACTGATGCAAATATAATACATAACTTTGAATGGCCATGGGAATTTCAACTCAGTGCATTTCAAATTGCTGTTTGGATCATTTCTGATTTCTTTTAAAAATATGAGTTGATCAACAGGTTATTTCTGCTTCAGATCCATACTAAGATTGAAAGCAGTTGCTGCAACAAGTAATTCTAGCAGTAGTGTGTCTTTACATTAGAATGTTTTACTTGGAAGTGAAGATAATGCTGTCAGCCTCACTTTTATTTGTCAGGTTTTAAGGAACAGCTCAGAGTTGCATGAGCTATTTTCTCTAAATACAGTAGAAATAAAGCAACCTCAATTTTACTAAAACAATCCATAAAATAGTATTGCTAACTTCCCTAATTTTTAATTTAATTTCCTCAGATTCAGAGGCAAGTTGTTAAAAACAAAAGCAGCACCATGCCTTGCAACATCTTTTATTATATTCATTTCCTAGTTCAATACAAAACAAATTCTATCCCACTGTGACAGATCCTTTAACTATTGTATTTTCTCAATACACTCTACAATGGTAAGATTTTTGATTACAGTTTTCCTTTCTGTACACTGGAAAAAAATGTGTCTGTTGTTGATAGTAAAAATATCAGAAGGACAGTATATGAAGAAATCAATACAAATTTGATGTTTTTATTTCTCTTGCTTGCCTAAGTACTTGAACTGGTTCTACACCTTCTAATAACTACTGTTGTGTACTGGTTTGTGTTTTGGACCAGGATTTAGGAGAGCTGAGTTCTAGTCCCATTGGGCCATGACACTCACTAGGTGGCTGTGGAGCAATGGTTGACTCTCAGCCTAATGTAGCTCACAGGGTTGTTGTGAGGATAAAATGAAAGAAGAAAGCAGATTAGATAACCCAACTTGGGTTCTTTACAGCAAAAATATGGACATATAAGTGTGATATATAAATAAATGAAATATTGCATAACAAGAAATTTGTCAGTATACTACCAACAGTTAAGAAATGACATGTTCTTATGACAAAGTCTTCCAAAATTAAATTGTCTTTATTGTTTCTTTTTCATCCCAGATAATTCTAAATGATCTATTAATCTAGTTCAGTATCCTTTCTCCATCTGTGGACAAATCTTTGATGAGAGTTATAAAGAGGGTAATGAAAGTATATCAAGGCCTGGAAAAAGCTGACATGGACCATTTCCAAAATACACTCCAGTTATTGTTCTTCTGGATTGTAAAGTCCAGACTTGACATGTTCTTGCATGACATTTCCTATTTTGATCCAACCCAATCTAGAGAATTCAACAGGGGAGTGGAGTTTGCATAGTTTTATTT